AGTCTTCACAAATAACTTATAGTCTTCACAACACTCCTGAATGATTATTTTTCTATTTTATAGATGAAAAAAATGAAACTGAGAGAAGTTCAATGACTTACCCAGAACTACTCCGTAGTAAGTAGTTGTGTTGAGTTTGAACCCAGGTCCGTCTCCCTGAAAACATACATATTCTTTCCCCACATGGTGCTGCCTCTCCAGGCAGAGAAGGATCTTTCCTAGAATGTAGATATTAGCATTCTGGTCCAGGATCTCTCCAGGGCAGAGCGCCTCAGGGCTATCGGTATCGCGTCCGCCTCCTCCCTAGCAGGAATCACTCTGAGGGGTTACCGGCAAGATGGCAACCAGGGCGAGTAACTGAGAGGCTCAGTGTGAGAAACTTGCTCTCTTAGGGCGGTGGATGTAAAGGTTAGCAGCTGTGAGAACATGAGGATTAAGCAATTTGCCCTCTTATATCCCTTTGAAGTCCTAACACCTGGTTGGAAGACAAATCCTTAAGTCAGAATTCCTGGTAGTGATAAATATATATGACTTTTTTCCAATTTAAGCTTTTCTTGCAGTAAGGATACTAAAATAACTCCTTAACTTGCTCTACAAAACAGATGGAATGTAACTTTTTCCTTCCCAGGTGATGTCGATTAAAGTATTTTCAGAGGTCAAGAGAACATCATGAAGTATGAGTCTATAAAGATTCAATGTCAAAAAATTCTCATTTTTTTCCTTTTTTGGATGTTTGCAAAATTACCAACAGCTGAACATAAAAGTAACAAAGCAAAAATTGAATGTGTAAGCCAGAAATGAGAACATTCATGATGTGGGAAAAAAGGTTATGGGAAACTAGCAGATCTATTATATAAGAATCATATTTTAGCACATCATTGCAGGACTCAAGGCCATTAATGGTTATTAATAGTCACCTGGGAAAATACTACTTTTTCTACTGCTCCAATTAATCTACAAAAACCTTAGAAGATTCTACAGAAGTAAAAGTTTTACAGACGTTTCATATGAATTTTAATTTCCAAAATAGCAAAAGGGAATATTTTATGGTTTTTATTTTTACATGTAAGACCAGCAAGTGACTTTTGAAAATACCTCTGTCAATACTAGATAGATAGATATTAAAATAAATGTAGAAATGCTTATAAATGATTATTTAGTAGGAGTCTTAGTCCACATATCACTAAACGTTAACTTCAATATTTCTGAATGATCAACAGCTTCTCACTTCAGTGGTGGGATCTTTTAAACACATCAAGAAGTGGAATGAGTCAAACAAAGTGACACTTAATATTTGTTTCGAAAACGAAAGTAAGTTACAATATTTGGGTATAGTTTGGTGCAACTGAAGAAATACTACTATCCTCTTACAGAATAAAGTAAGAAGAGGGGTTATAAGTGACACTTTTTTTCCATAAAGAAATAAAAATTCTTTGCTCTTGCAACTTGGACCCAAGGGATTTCAACTCATCACTTTATGATCATGAATTCACTAACATGCCCACAGCACATCTGTGAAAAATAGACTTTATTACTGTTTTACAGATGAACAGAATTGAGAATGACCATACTGTAAATTGGTAGCAGAAAGGGAATAGAATAGAGACACAAATTTCAAACATACAGTCTGTGCCAGGCAGAATAATAGCCCTCAAAGACTGCCCGCATCCTCATCTTCAGGACCTGTGAATATCTTAGGTTACATGACACAGGAGAATTAAGGTTTTGCAGATACAATTAAGATTGTTGATCCACTGACCTTAAAATGTGGAGAGTAGCCTGGATTATCCAGGTGGGCTCAATATAATCATGAGGCTCCTTAAAAGTGGAAGAGGGAAGGCAGAGGAGATCAGAGTGATGTGGTGTGAGCAATGTTTGACCCAATGTTGTTGGATTTTTTTTATTGAAGTATAGTTGATTTACAATATTATATTACTTTCAAGTGTACAGCATAGTGATTCAGTATTCTTACAGATTATACTCCATCAAAAGTTATAAAATAATGGCTATAATTTCCTCTGCTGTATGATATATCTTTGTTGCTTTTCTATTTTATACATAGTAGTTCATATCTCTTAATCCCTTGCCCCTGCCCCCTTCCCTTTCCCCTTTGGTAACCACTAGTTTGTTTTCTATATCTGTGAGTCTTTTTCTGTTTTGTGTGTACATATATATACATATATATATATATATATATTCATTTGTATTGTTTTTTAGATTTGAAAGTAGAAGAGGAATGTGGGCCCCTCTAGAAGCTGCAAAAAAGCAGGGAAACAGGTTCTCCCCTCAGAGCCTCCAGAAAGGAATGCAGCCCTGCCTACAACCTTGACTTTAGCCTAGAGAGACCCACATTGGGCTTCTGACATACAGAACTATAAGATAATAAATTTGTGATGTTTTAAGCCGCCAAGTTCGTGGTAATTTGTTATAGTGGCAATTGAAAACTAATACACAGCTGTTTAATCATTTAAGAGCCATTACTACAATCATAATCATTAAAAAAGACTGTAAATAATCAATTTAAGCAACCAGAGGATAACATTTAATTTGGAAATGCAAGTCCATTTTGAAGTAATAAAAGTAGAAGCACACAGATTCCTTGGCATAAAGAAAGATGGAAAAGGAAATATCTAAGAGGAATGTTTTTTTCCTTTTCCACCAGAATACTAGAAGAGAAAGGAGATAAATAAAAAGAGCACATTGATCTAAAGGATAAGGTAAGAGTTTTAAAAATGCTGCTTGCAATAGCCTTCCAGGAGAAGTTTGGGAAGCTTTGTGCTTAGAGATCTTTAAGGTACACAGTGATCTGTTCTAGGATGGTTTAGATATATATTAGCCTGATGACAAGGGCCTAGACTAGACAATCTCTCATGGCCTCCTCCAGCCTAAATATTCTACAGAGACTTGACTCTGTTCCATTCAGTGCCACAATATTTATTACCTATCTACACAATGTAGGTCATCCTGCTATGAATAACCAAATAAGGCATAAACTTTGACTTTAAAAAGTTCACAGTTTAATAGTGAACCAGAGTTAAACAACCAACCATATTTAAGCTAGACAATGAAAAGAATCATAAGGGGTGGATAAGTGATATATTGATTAAAAATCATTAAATATCTAAAAATCAATGCAGAATAACCAATGCATTCTTACTGATTATCAAACAAGCAACATCATTGGTCACCACTGTAGATTTCCAGGCATCAACTTATTACAATGAGAATTTATCCTGTCTTTCCTAAAACCCTAGATAAGAAACGTGAAAAAGTAAATAAAATTCTTTAATGTAGAATTTCATCTAAAAAATACAGAAGGAATGATAGAATTAGATTCTATCTAGAATGTAAAACTACCAAACTACCATTTTACAACCTCTGTATAAAATAATGCATCTGGGCAATGAGCATTGATAGATGCTAAAACCATTAAGTGAAAATTTGATGATGAATTTTATAATGGAGGGATCAGGCTGAGGCCACCTAAACACACCAAACTGCTTTAACATCACTAAGTATGACACCAGCCATTATGTACCTCTTTGGGAGTTGTTAGGAAATAAACCATACCATCTATAAAGTATTCTTTCCTCCCAAATACTTAACCCAAATCTAAATATCTTTCACAGGAAAGTCAGGGATAGAGGAGCCAGTTCAAAGAGACATGGAAGCAGTCAGTTAAATACAGAATGTGAACCAGGATGCATAATCCAATTTCTCCAGCAAATCAATGACGTTTAAAAAGGGAAGGGAGAGAGGACTGTTATGGAATAAAAGAGACTATTTGAAGGGTTACAAACTGTAATTTGTCTGCTTTAAAGTGCTTATCTTATGTAAAATTCAGTCCAGACATTTATAATTAATAATGTTACTCTCTTGCCTAATTTTATTTATTTATTTATTTATTTATTTATTTATTTATGTTTTGCGGTACGTGGGCCTCTCACTGTTGTGGCCTCTCCCGTTGCGGAGCACAGGCTCCGGACGCGCAGGCTCAGCGGCCATGGCTCACGGGCCTAGCCGCTCCGCAGCATGTGGGATCTTCCCGGACCAGGGCACGAACCCGTGTCCCCTGCATCAGCAGGCGGACTCTCAACCACTGTGCCACCAGGGAAGCCCGCTTGCCTAATTTTAAAGTACAACAGAGACTTCTCAATGAGAACAAAGGGCTGCAGGACAAAATAGATTCATCTTCAACATTGCTACATATATGCATGAATGTCAGATCTGGTCTACAGTAGTTCAAGTTATAGTATTAAACTTTGGAAGTTCATGAAAAGACTGTTTAGCAATAATCCTAGCAGTGGATCAAAATATAAATCTCATCTTAGGCTATTCAGGAAGCCTTTGACAGCATTTTAAATAGATGATCCCTTTTTAAAAAAATGTTATCCTTTAAAAACCTTCTATTTGCAAATAATTTTTCTGGAGAAGGCTTGAAGGTACCTACATCCTCAAATTACATTTTAATGTGATTAAAAATATTTTCAAAGAAATGTAAAATTTCATAACACAAATACAAACTTTAATCTTTTTGTCTGAAATACCCTAAAAATTTTTAAATGTAACACACTGTCTTTTCTTTTTAAAGGTAGCTTGGCATGAATAGACACCCAGAAAGCGGTAGATGGTATTTTCCACCAGAAGAAAGTAAAGACATAGCAGGGAGGAAAATTAATCCACATAAACAAGCTATGTTACAGAGATTTAAGGTATTTTAGCTAGTTTTTTTCCCTGTGAAAATTTAGTTATGTGGTCAGGGACTGTAGGTATAATGGCAATGAAGTTGATTATTTCTGCAGTATAAGCAGGGTATGCATTACATATTTGTTAATGTAAAAAATTGTGCTATGGGTTACAACAATTATGAAGATGTTTTGTAATTATGGCATTTCGTTCGGCAGAGGGTATAGAAAGAATGATGCTTCGAGATTTATGTATCATATAACACCCATTACCTTTTACCTCTTCTTCCTACGCCTGAAACCCAAAGATCTTACCAACCACGGCCTCAGTGTATTTCCCTTCCCCAGGAAGAGGGAAGTACTGGTTTGGTGATAAGTTGCTTCCATATCCCAGGAGAAAACCTTCCAGTTTTACATTAGGATTTGGACGCAGGAACTTCAAGAGGATGGAGTCACTTGTAGTATTGATGTGGACCTTCAGGTTTGGCCTTTTACCTAAAGATGGAAACAAAAATATAGGTGGCGGTTACTTCACCTCTTTAGCATCCAAAGTTACTGGCTAGAGGCATTGTTACTGGCTGGAGGCATTGTTATTGGAAATCGTGATATCTAGCTACTCAAGATCACAGCACACCCACCAAACCAGCTAAAATACAGGTTATTTTGAGATCAAAGGAAACAGACTTAATAACATATAAAGCAAAAGCAGTCTAGAATACAAAGTAAAATCTTAGGGTTTAATATTTTGTAGTTTATTATTGAGCAGGTAAATGGGATTTAAGGCTACCTTGGCTATCCACAGTTGGTCAGAACCTTCATTTTATACATCCTATCTGGGAATGGTGAAAGGATCTGAAATTTCTTATCGGTAAATTGAATTACTGCACTTTAAAACCCCCAGCTTCCTCAGTGCTGGTCTCCAGCAGTATCCTCGCAGGACTTAGTGATTCACAGAGTTGGAAAGGGAGGGAAGTGGGTGGATTTTGGCTTAGGGGTAACTGAGATAGTAGAATAAGGGATTCTAAAAGGAGCAGGGCTGAGAAGAAAGATGATTAGTTCCATTTGGAGTTCGCTGGGTCAGTGAGACAACTGACTGTTGCCTCAGTGATTAGTCAACTTACTGTTGGAAATGTCCAACAGTAAGTTTACTATCTAAGTGTGATGCTCACAAATGGGGTCAAGATCCATCGGGGTGTCTTTAGTTTATAAATGATTATTGGGTGAACTTCCCCAGAGAGGCTGCAGAGTAAGCAGAGAAACTCTATATTTTCAAGGCATTATTATTATTATTTAATTATGAAGGCAACAGGGATGGACACTCACTCTAACCAAAGGTCTTGACCAAGCAATGAGGAAACAACACTGTCTTTTGTCTTTGGGGCCAGAAGGAGCTGGGTCCAAACTGCAGCTCTGCCATATACTTATAAGTGTGCCCTGGCTGCTCACTAACCTGTGCTTGAACCTTCTTTCTTGATTTGTAAATTATGGATAACGATGTCTACTTTGACAGGTTGTTTACAAAGGTTAGTGCAAATGGCAATATCTTAAAGCTGGTACACAGTAATTGCTCAATAATTGGTTACTTAATCAGGTCCATCCAAAGCCCGTTAGTCACAGTTTAGAAATCCAAAAAAGCTTTGTTAGGTTTTCGTAAGTTCATGTCAAACTAATTTGGCAACAAAACTCAATCTGAACTGTTATGAGGCCACTTAATCTTTCTTTAATCTCACTGAATAGTCAGTGTGACTTATTCACATGTTTAATTATAGGAATCTTTTTTTAAATTCATTTTTATTGGAGTATAGTTGCTTTACAATGTTGTGTTAGTTTCTGCTGTACAACAAAGTGAATGAGTTATCTATCTATCTATCTATCTATCTATCTATCTATCTCCACTCTTTTTAGATTCCCTTCCCATTTAGCTCACCACAGAGCATTGAGTAGAGTTCCCAGTGCTATACAGTAGGTTCTCATTAGTTATCTATTTTATACATAGTAGTGTACATATGTCAGTCCCAATCTCCCAATTCATCCCACCCCCGCTTCCCCCCTTGGTAGCCATAAGTTTGTTTTCTACATCTGTGACTCTATTTCTGCTTTGCAAATAAGTTCATCTGTACCATTTTCCTAGATTCTAATTATAGGAATCTTAATTCCTATACTTAAATGTGCTTAATTAAAGGGTGCTGATCAAGACCTCACTGAATAGGTTACTTAATACATGGTCTAGGCATCCTAGTACATTTCTAAAATCCAAAGATTTTCTGAATTCTAAAACAAGTCTGGCTCTGAGAGTTTTAGATAAGAGATTGTGGACTTCAATTATTTTCTTTCTTTCTTTCACTGGGAATTCATATTTTTAAAATATTTTACCTATTGGGAAGACTGTATTTACTAACTTAATAATTCAGTCTATTTCTCATTAATCAAAGACTTATATTGTATATATACCAGTCAGGACCTCTAAATAGCATGGGTTTCCCAAAGCTATCACTCTAAATTTATACTATTCCAGTCAAAAGTCATCCTGGGCGACCTCAATATAGCCACATAGAAGAATTCCATTAGGCCTTTGAAGCAATAAAAACAACACGTCTTGGAGACCAGGCTGTGGGAACCACTCTCTTACTTTAGCAGTCAGTACTATTTCCAGGTATGTGCATAGTACTTTGTACTTCCCAAGAATTTGATAAAATTTCTATAACTTCTTGGTTCTCTGACTGCTATTGCTACACTTGTGGCAAAAAACCCAGAGACACTGAGCAGCTTATCCAAAAGTCTGAGGGAGACTCATCCCCAGCTCACCTAGTCCAATTCTCTTATAGGACAAATGACTAAATTGAGGGCAGCCACACCTCTATCAGTCTGCAGGTTAAGTTCAGCGTCAAAACCGCATCTTAGGCTCTTGCTAGGCTGGACTTCCTGCTCTCATTTTTATTGAGAACTTTGTCATGACCCAAATGAGTAAGGAGTAGCTAACCCCCATACCGTAATGCTGAAATTGATGCTAACTGATAATGTTTTGTCCTAACTTTATAAGATTTTGATAAGGTTATATATATATATATATATATATATCACCTTATCAAAATCATAGATAGACAGATAATCTCACATATATAACACAGATTTTGGTCAAGCCAATTTTCCCCTTCTTAGTTATGTGCCTAGATTAACCCTACAGTTAATCTAGGGTTAATATTCTGCTACCTTATAAGGTTATCGGGTCTCACAATAAATCAAAAAACAGCTGGCCTGTTTCCAACACCTTGTTAGGAAGAAGAGATTAGGAATCTTCATGAACTTAGGTTGCACTCTTTTTGGGCTAAGAGTCAAGAGTCACAGCATCATCACATTAGACCTTTGCTCACAGACTGTGGCCTGATGTACCATGTTATTCCCCCCCTTGGAAAGTAGGAAGGATGGCTGTACCAACTGAGAAAAAGGAAGGTTGTAAACAGAACTACTGACTAACAAAAGTGGAAGTGTTCTTGCTTCCTCTGCCCAGAATTTTCATGACTCCAGTCTTTCTCCCTTTTGCTAATAATTTATGTCAATAAATACATCAACATCATGTAACTTTCTGAATAAATTAGCATTTATCTGACCTACTTTCTCCAAAATTCCAATTCATACTACTCTCTAGAGCTAAACTTTTAAAAGTCCTGAGAAAGAAAAAAGCACACAAACAAATCTTTTCTCAAAACAGCATCACAAATTTAATAGTATATTGAGACTCTCATCCCAGTTCCTTACTGGATCTAGGAACTCAAATCCCTTTATTATCTTGCTACACATGAATTCTGTCTTTTTTAAAAAAATTTTTATGGAGAATGGTTGATTTACAACATTGTGTTAGTATACCGGAAAGTGAATCAGCTATACATATACATATATCCACTCTTTTTTAGATTATTTTTCCCATGTAGGCCATTACAGAGTACTGAGTAGAGTTCCCTGTGCTATACAGTAAGTCCTTATTAGTTATCTATTTGTTACTTTTCAACATCGCTCATTTCTCTTTGGCCAGTATAAATCTTCTCACATTCTGCAATGCATACGAGGCCCTGGCCCTACACCTATGCTCACATTGTCACCCAGCATGGATTCCCTCAATACCCCTTTGCTCACTCAGTTATGACCCCACTGACACTTTCAGAGCTCAGCAAAATGGTTAAGTAATTTTTTTGTCCTTTTCATCTGAATAAGTTCCTCAAGTGTCCCTTCAAATGAATGTTTGGACTAGTATTCAATTTTACATTCTTAAACGATTTCCCCAATATTTTAAGGTATATCTCAGTGCATCCTATAATAATTTTTCATCTTTGATAAATTTATCTTCACTCCAAGTAATTCTGGCTTAAAGGCCTGGAACACTAGTCATGTAATAACAGTTATCTTTCAACAGTTAGTGCGAAGACCTCAGGTGAATGACTTAAGATAGAGATAATAAAAAAAAGTACAACATGATACAAGCTTAACTAGTAAAACATTGATAAGTAAAGTGGCATATATATCGCCCAGGAAAGCCCAGGAGTACAGAGAAATAAGATTACTGGAAGAATATTTTATTGCATCCTATACGAGAAACAAAGCCTATACTAATCAAGAGTGAGAGAAAATGAAGAATGTGAGCATTTCAGGAAAGCAATACTAGAACGGCTGAAAAAAAAAGATTGCATGTTGGCAAAGTAGAACTTTGGAACTATGACAGCTGTTTCTAATCCTCTGTTTGCAACACCCTAGGGTATCTCTAAATATTTCCAAGGGTGTTGTGAAATTTTATAAGAAAAAAAATCCCTTTCAAAACAAAATTAGAAATAATCCCCATTTAATTTTTAAAAGAAAATACATGCCCTGTGGCATTGAAAACAGTGAGGAAGGTAGTGAGATGAGAAAATCAGACAAAAGGTAGAGTGCTACAAGTTCATAGAACCCTCTAGATCAACCAGAGGAGTCAGGTTGCTATTGCTATTGCTATAGGCACAGGTGTTGAGCAGACATTTAATGTTGACCCCAGAATTCTGAGTGCCTGTGGTCAGTGTCAATAAAACTCTGTAAACAAACACAGCCCAAACACAAGGCACTTAGTTAAGCCAGCTAAACTACCATGGACATCCAGTCACTGATCTGTGAGAAAGGAGTTACCATCACAACCCATTTAGTAGGAGAAATTCTTTCATGTCTAATTTCTCTTCAGGTTATCTTAACACTTTCCAAAATATTTCAGAATGTGGTCTAAATTGCTGATATGAAGTTGGTCACGTTGATAAAACCACTTCAATAGAAAAACTGCAAAACACGAAAGTTCTCTTCTAAAAGTAAAAAATATCTATTAGTGTAGTAGCAGTAAATGCCTTAGCCTCTAAGCTCTCAGTGTTGTAAAACAGTAAATAGCAAGTTTGAGAATAATCAGATTAGCAATTATTTCCATAAGATATTAAGTAAAAGAATAGCTATAATAGTGATGTCAATAAAATGACTCACTTGTTTCA